GTCTCATCCCTTCGGGAGCAAGGGAGAATGAATAAAACTAAAGATACAAGGCAAAGACCAGTCCAAAGGACTAATGGACCACAACTACCATGGCCTCCACCAAAATGAGTCCAGTACAACTAGATGGTGCCCAGCTACCACCACTGACTGCTCTGATGGGGTCACAACAGAGGGTCCTAGACAGAGCTGGAGAAAAATGTAGAACAAAATTCTAACTCACGAAAAAAGACCAGACTTACTGGCCTGACAGAGACTGGAGAAATCCCCAGAGTATGGCCCCAGGACACGCTTTTAGCTCAGTAATGAAGTCACTCCCGAGGTTCCCCCTTCAGCCAAAGATTAGACAGCCCCATAAAACAAAATGAGACTAATGGGCCACAACAGTCCAGGGACAAGGACTAGCAGGCAGGAGGGGACAGGAAAGCTGGAAATAGAGAACCCAAGTTTGAGAGGACACAGTGTTGACATGTCGTGGGGTTGTTAACCATTGTCATAAAACAATATGTGTACTGTTTAATGAGAAACTATTTGTTCTGTAAACCTTCATCTAAAGTACAATAAAAAAAAAAAGTAACAAAAAAAAATTTAGTTAAGTGTATTAAAGTTACTAAAAATAGCCAATTATTTAACATAATTTTCAAAACACAGTATAAAGAAAATTCTGGTTAAGCACTTACCACCAAGATTTTTAAGCAATCTGGAAGTGTCGTGTCCTTTTTGAGCCAATTCTCGGATTCTCTGTTCTTGTTTCAGTCTCTGTGCCAGTTCCTGAGCTCTCTGCATTGTCTGCAGCAGCTCATTTGTCTTGAGAGTCATGATTTCCTATCAATAGTACAAGTGTACACAGTCATTAAATACAAATATCAAACACATTTTCTTGGATCCTACTGTGTGCCAGGCACTGTTACACACACTGGGAGTGTACCAGTAAGCAAGGCAAGGGTCCTGCCCTTCTGGACCTTACAGTCTAACATCTTTTTTTTTTTTTCTTTTTAAAAGATTTATTTTATTTTTTTTTCCCCAAATGTTATGGACGTGGAGAAGGCTTGGTGCACACTAATGTTTTAGTGGGGGAACCAGAAGTTTGTTTTGAACATTCTAAGTTTGAGATCCTTATGAAGCTTTCAAGTAGAAACATCAGGCTTGTTACAAACTTAAGACAATGCTCTGCCTTGGAAAAATAAAAACTCAATCCATATCTCTTGAATAACTGAACGAATAAATACTATTTCTCTCTTTAAAACATTAAAAATTATTTTAAATCGTAAGCACATATGGCATCCACTTAGCAAGAAAAAAGGTTTAGATATAAAAATTTTGGAGTAAAAAGTATGACAGTCTTCTGATAATAACTGCTGAAGTCTGGCCCCGCTCTTGGTCAGGGACTTCGGGATACAATAATTCCTAGTGGAATGATCTCTACCATGTACCATCAGATGACTTGTGAGGAACATAACTGTGTGGTATCTATCACTCTCTGTGTCCCCAGAACCTGTCATAAAGCTGACACTGCAAAAATTTGTGCTAAATAAGTGAATTAAATATTTTTTTCCAAACGTGTGCTTTCCAATCTAGCGGATACATTTTTTTTTCTTTATATTTTATTTATTTGGTTGTTGTTGTTGAGGATATATACAGCAAAATATATACCAATTCAATGGTTTCCTACACGTACAATGTAGTGACATTGATTACATTCTTCAAGTTGTACAACCATTCTCACCATCCTTTTCCAAGTTGTTCCTCCTCCATTAACATAAACTCACTGCCCCCTAAGGTTCCCATCCAATCTTCTGAGTTGCTGCTGTCAATTTGATCCTATATAGATAGGTCTTAAAAGACCATTATGCTCAAGGCAGATCTTTTTCACTAGTTAAGCTAAACTGTTGTTCAGTTTTAAGAGGACTTCAGGGGATACTTTTGGTTCAAGGTTCAAAGATTATCTCAGGGCAATAGTTTCAGGGGTTCATCTACCCTCCACAGCTCCAGAAAGTTTAGAGGCCATGAGAATCTGAAATTGTTCTGCCTTTTCTCCCTTTTGATCAGGATTCTTCTAGAGAATCTCTGATCAAAATGTTCAGTAATGTTTGCCAGGCACCATCCAGTTCTTCTGGTCTCATGGCAAAGGAGAAAGCAGTGGTTCATGAAGGCAATTAGCCACATATTCCATACCTTCTTTCTATTCCTGAAGCTCCTTCTTACTGTTACTCCAAGTGAATACAGACCAACTGTTGTGCCTTGGATGGCTGCTTGCAAGCTTTTAAGACCCCAGGCACTAAGCAATGAACTAGGAGGTAGAACAAAAGCACTAAATATGTTATCAGCCCACTTAACTGGGATGTCCTATGATACCATGACCCTAAACCTTCAAACCAAGGAACCAAATCCCATGAGGTGTTCGGTTGCACATAAGCAGACTCAGCAGCTACTCTTTTTTTTTGTCGTTGTTGTAAATATATCACACAACTTTTGCCAATTCAACTGTTTACAGGTGTTCTAACATCTTTTCCTACAGCTATATTAGATCGCAAATTTAACAACTCTTTATTCATTTCAAGTTTATACTAATAAAGTCTCAAAAACCAATGGTCAATTCCATCATAACTCTGTTAAGATGAAAAATAAGTTAAATAGATGTTAAAAAGTAAAACACAAGTTGTGGTCATACCTTGCAGTTCAAGTAAGCAGTATTTTATTGATTTTCTTGTGTAGCTATTTTATATGAGTAGCCAGCTCAGCCTATTCAACACAATGAAATCGGAACCACACTGTGTGTCCCTTTATCAGCTAATTTTGGAGTGAAGCTTCCAAATGGGAAAAAGCCAGAAAACTCAACCTCTCGGCCCCACCCGCCACAGCTTCAGGGGAACTTGCTCTGTGTTCTACTCTTTAAAGCACTAGACTCTTTGGCAGTCAAATCCCACACTGTACAATCTGCTTTTTGTCAGGTCAGCTCAAACTCAGCACTTGACACCACCAGGACGATCCTGTCTGCACCACTCAACACAGGGGTCTCCTAGCAACCAGGGGGCTGCTCTTCATAAAGGCTCCTACTTCGCACAGAGAAAACCTTTAACAGTCACAAGCCAGATCATCAATGCCAGCCAATTACTCTGCAAGTATACGATCCTTTTCATAAGTGGATATGGATAGAAAGGTTATCATCCCTCTTAACGTATCTAGAATAATTACTAATGTAATTATTATTACTGAAAACATATCTCAAAAACAAGCACATGGGTAATTCTTGCTTTGTGCTGTGATAACTCATCTTGACCTTCTTTTAGCAGAAAGTAAAAGCCCAGGCAACACATCATTTCTGAACTAATCATGTGAAATAATAAAGCCTTCTCAAACGTCTCTCTGACTTTCAGACTTTTCTTTATGCAGAACTTTAATATTTCCACATATAGCTTCATAGTGTCAAAACACATGCAAATGTTCCACTTCTCGTTATTTTTCATTGAAAAACACAGATAAAGACAATATACTACATCCATTTTTATTCTAAAACGTTAAACCGTCAGAATGCACTACCCACTTCCTTTTGTTTCTGTTTAAGTATGTCTTCTTCATACTGTCTCTGCACCGCCTCTCGCTCCCGGGCTAAGCGACGCTCCTCTTCTCGTTCTTCCCTCTTTCTCTGCTCTTCTTCCAGCTGCTTCCTTCTGCGCGTCTCTTCTACCTGAGCAGTGATGGCTTTCTAGTCATAACAATCACAAAAATCACTGTCACAAATAAAAACCCATGCAGCACCAAACAAATTTTGGTGACTCTAGAATAACTTTATCAGCATACAGGAAGTATTCCACATATGAGTCAAGTCCAAATGTCAAATTCCCCATGTATTTCTCCCACCTCCCACTTGTCCAGTCAAGCTCTATAATGCCTTTTCTTCAACCTCAGGAGCCACACAGAGAAACAATGTGAGAAATCATCTCAGGGCTGTGCACCGTGCCTGGCCAGGAGCAGGTATTCTGAGTGTCTGCTCACTGATCAGGAGTAACACCGTAACTACGTCCCTTCCTTTACCGAAACTTTTAAACAATTATTCAGACATTTAAGTCCTGTAGCATCAGACTGAAATTGGGAGACGGCATTTTAATCTTAGCCTCCTTTCTTATATTATCTGCTAGATTTCTTAATCAAAATTTTAATTCCCTATGTATTTCACTTTCAAAGAACTAATTTGCATCCTGAACAGAACTCATCAAAACTAAACTGATGGAAAAATATTCAATAACTTAAGACCTAGTGCAAATTTATAAACACTATATATTAGAGACCTGCTCTAGTGAAAGGCAAAAAATGGTTATATTTTTTATGATACTGCTGCTTCTAAGCATGAGTACAATTCTGACAATGCCAGTCAGGGCAGGGATTAATTCACTACAGGACCGGGTAGGACCTGTGCTTTAAGTTTATATCAAAATCTAAATTTCCATTTCCTTAGTTATTATGGCAAAGGAAAACACTGCACAAGGCAATACCTGATGTTCTAACTGTTTCTGTCGTCGTCTGTCCTGTTCCTCGATTTGAGCTGGGTCCAAGAGAGCAGTCATGGAACGGAGAAAGCTGCCAAGACAGAGCCATCACATCTTTACAATCTCAAAAAGGTGGGCTCATTTTTGCTTGGGATAGACCTACTACATCATTTCTATTTCAAAGAAAAATACCAAGCACTGAAACCAATTAGACATAATACAAAAATAACAGCCCTGCTAAAGCATGCAGACTTTCTCAACCATCAGTAAATACTGAAGAACGAACTTACTTCATTTTCTGACTGTCTGTCACAGCCACGTCCCTAACAGGTCTTGCTGTAGGTCTTTCCCCTGAAGGTCCAACCTGGCTTCCATTTGTAGGTGTACAAACACTGCTGATGTCAGCTAGCTCTTGAGTGTCAGGAGAGACACACAAGTACTCTTGTTTGTGTGTTGATCGAGAGGACAGCTGAGACTGAGAACCAGGATAACCCTTAAAGGAATCAAAATGCATTGCCCATCTGTCACGTTCCTCGCCCTAATAACGACAAATAAGAACTGCTAAGAATTTTTACAACTGTTCTCTCACATACAAAATCATAAGTGACAAACGAAAATGTGTTTCTAAACGTCACCATACAGCAGAATACCAATACCAGTTGCCGTCGAGTCGATTCTGACTCATGGCGACCCCATGTGTGTCAGAGTAGAACTGTACTCCACAGGGGTTGTAATGGCTGATTTGTTGAAAGCAGACAGCCAGGCCTTTCTTTTGAGGCTCCTCTAGGTGGACGCAAACCTCCAACCTGTCAGGTAGCAGCAGAGTACATTAACTGCACCACCCACAGACTCTTTACAGCAGACTAAGTACCATAAAAACTAACAAAATTGTATTCTGTTTTGATTCCATATACATTTATGTAACTAGGAGAATATGAGAAATAGGAAATAACTAAAAAGTACATTATAGGAAGCTACGAAATTCACACTTGCTAAATCCATTTAATGAAAGCAGGCTGACATGAGCAAATGCAGAATACTTTAAGTACTCTGGTCTGGTCATGTAGCTTCAGAATACTTATAAGCTTTAAGAAATTATTTTGCATGGGAAAAAAAATGTTTTTCTTTAGACTTCATAAAATCTCCTAAGTTACCTTTGAATATATCATTTTTTCCATTCGTTTTCTTTGCCGGTCCTCTTCGATTTGCTTATTCAACTCTCCAATCCATTTCTTCTGCTGCTCTTGTTTCACAGCACTGACAGGGGGCTCCAGGGGCACTGCTTCCTAAACAAGAGCCATCATCGCCATAGAAAGCTCAGATCTCCTTTTCTAACCATTTTATACTTCCAATTTTTGCCAAGGTAAGTTATAAAGGCTTTAAGCTGGTAAGGTATGTATCTCTGTTGTTGTTAGCTGCTGTCGAGCTGGACCCCAGCTCATGGTGACCTCACGCACAACAGATCTAAATGCTGTCTGGTTCCACGCCATCCCATGATCAGTTGGGGATTGGACTGTTTTGATCCTGGGGTTTTCATTGGCTGCTTTTCGAAAGCAGATTGCCAGGCCTTTCTTCCTACTAGCCTGTCTTAGTCTGGAGGCCCCACTAAAACCTGCAAGCCTCACTGACAGATGGGTGGTGGCTGTGCATGAGATGCATTGGCCAGGAATTAAACCAGCTGAATGGGAGGCAAGAATTCTACCACTGAACCACCAATACTCCCCATTCATCTCGAAGATGAGCAATAATTTCTAACAAAAAATCCTAATATACAAAATTAGGTAAGTATTCCGAATATCAGAATCATATTTGTAAAATATAGTACATAGTAAGCTATTTAACTGTAAGGAAAAGAACTTTCTAACAAGAAATACATGGAAAACTGTGGGGATATGTGCCATTTAAACATGGCTGCACTATGGCCAACTTTCGCCTCTCAAACGCCCATGCGCGGAACACGGTGAAACGTGTCAGCGATGAGAAAGAGATTAGGCATGACTTGTTTTTCCAAAACCTACTGTTCCTTTACTAATTGACTTGTTTACTTGAAACCCATTCTTCCTTACCCGAGACTTATTGTTATTCACCTAAAGCCCATTGTTCTGTGATTTGCTTCACTGCTTGCTGTACTGACTATAAATAAACTCCTGGGACTGAAGCCTGGGTCACTGACTCTTCGGAGTGACCCTCCTTGGCCCCACTTCTCTGTAAGAGTTGTGTAGCTGGCTACCGTCGCTGTTCCGACAGAAATGATTTCTCCAAAACAATTATAAGACAGAAAAATTTCAAAATCCAAATACAACCTCATGTACAAATTGAAAAAAGTTACTGATCATTTAAAACAGATGAATGCTGTTTAACATCTGCCTTTGGACTGCCGTAAATACTGTCTTTGGACCAAGAAGAAGGAGGATGTAAGAGAACAAGAAGCCTTCCCTGTTGAATCAGGATGTTGCGCTAGTATCCTCTTCTTCCTTTCCAACTCTGCTGCTACAGCCCTATGACAAGCTAGGACGTCTCAACAAGGAAAAAAACAAACAACCGTGTCTACAATGATTTCCCAAATCCTAAGAAAATAAAGAATAAAATAAAAATGCTAACATAAAAGTTGTTGCCTTAATTTATGAGAGTTTAGTACTCTCTAACAAAAAGGAAATAATACAGTCTACTCCAATTGTCCTGAAATGCAATACCAAGCAACAAAGATTTCACTATACAAAATAACTGCAGGACATAATTAAGAAAAATGATTTGGCAGACTACTAGCCTGGGAGTATGCCTCACAATGTTTCTTTCTGGCCTTGTTTTTACCAGGAACAATGGAAAAGCTCATAGTTTACAACCTGTTGCTTTGATCAAAGGATATATTCATACCAAAAAGAAAAATCTTATTGTCTCAGACGCTCTTACAAATTTCTAACAGATAAGAACCATCATATTTATTTCAGCCTAAAAGAACCACTTCAAGGGGAACATTATCTTCAGGTAAATGACCTAACAATTCTTTTATCCAGAAAAGTGTTATTTAGGAGGTCAAAATGAGAAAAGAAAAACAAGAATGTAAATGGACCCTGTGAGTTCCTTAGAAGAAATTCTCAGCAATGCAATTAATCATCTTTTCTGCAAATCTGTTTTAAGTCTGATGTAACCAGTTCTGGTTCCAAACTTTAGTGAAGTTGCACATTATTTAGAGGTCAGACATTAAGGTCAGTGTGTATGTAAGGTAAAATAAGTGAAAATTCCTAAAAATCACCCACACAGTGGTTTATATACATGTTTTATGTTTCTAACCCTCTGGACAATCTAATGATTTCTTTCAATAAAGTCTTGAATTTCTCACTCAAGGGTGTCCTACAAAGCTACCACCACCTCACCTGCCATATGAATAAGTCAGTGTACTTCTCTGACATTCTTTTTCACGTTTCCCCCAACGTTCATTCAGTTACAGGACTGAAAAGGCAAGGATTTGGGAGGTGCACCGAGGTGACAGGTGGAATGGAATCCCAGGCATTCTCTTTCTCCCTCTCGATTTTCAGAGCTCGTTCAGTGGACAGAGGCAAGTCGAGTATGTAAGGGAAGTCACGCTGTATGACAAGCGCTGTGGGCTGACAGTGGCCTAGCACCACCCCTCCACTGATTCCTCGGAAGTTACAGAGAGAAACCTCTCGTCCCAGGCTCACTCACACCTTTTCATTTCACCTCCCTCATGTCAGCCATCTGAGACATCCCTTCTCCTACATGAAAAACTTTTCTAAATACTCATTTTGGGGCCATTTTCAAGTGACAGCCTGAGAACACACTACACTTTTCCCCACAAACAGTCCTGAAGCGCCAGGATGCTAATGTCGTTCTTTATCTTTAAGTTAGTCTGCTAGGAAATGTTAGTCCTATTCCTAATACAGATGCTGCACGAATGGCGGCTGTAAATCAGAACTCAAAGTAGAGACCTTTACTAAACAATCCACTAGAGATGGCTGGCTCCACTTCATTCCTTCTCTCCTTGAAGCAGTCTTCAGAAATGCTGCTGTGGGAAAGAACTCTCAGGGATAACCCTGTCAAGGTCCAGAATGGTCCCGCCTGCCAGTCTGCTTCTAAGTCCATGCACTGACACGCTCCTCACTCCCCCAGCCACCTGCCGCCCTCACCTGCCTGCTAAGGAGACAAGCGTGGTAGTGGGGCAGAGGTCAGGACACTGGGCTACAAAGAACAGGATCTTCAAAGAGAAAGATGAGCAAAACAAAGGTGAAATTACTTTTAACTTGAAAAATACCTTATTTAAAATCTTCTGTAACCAAAAGGCCCTTACCAAAAAAAAGCCAAAAAACAAATTTAACCAGCTGCTGTCAAGTCGATTCTGACTCATGACGACCCAAGTGTTCCAGGGCAGAACTGCACTCCATAGGTTTTCGTGGTTGTGACCTTCTGGCAGTAGATTGCCAGGTCTTTCTTCTGAGGCACCCCAGAGTAAGTTTGAACTGCCAACCTTTCGATTATTAGCTGAGCGCTTAACTGTTCACGCCACCCAAAAACTCTACAGGAGGCCCATAAAAAAGCAAAACAAAACTGGTGCCATAAAGTGGTCCTGACTCACGGCGACCCGTGTGTTACAGAGAACTGCTCCACAGGGTTTTCTTGGCTGTAATCTTTATGGAAGCAGATCACCAGGTATTTATTCTGTGGTGCTGCTGGGTGGGTAAGAAAGGCCAACCTTTAGGTTGGCAGTTGAGCGCAAACCTTTTGCACCACAAAGGGAGCTACAGAAGGCCCATGTGCTGTGTGCCTTCAAGTCGATTCCCACAGAGGTGTACATAGGGCTAAAAATCCTGTTTTGTTTTTTTTCATGTGCTTATTTGCCATATATCTATCTCTGGGGCCACGTCTGTTCAAAATCTTTTGCCTGTTTTAAAAACTTGGGCTGTTTTCTCATTACTGAATTCTGAGTTTTTCTTTTTAATATTCTAGATATAAGTCCTTTATCAGATAGGTGATCTGCAAATATTTTTTTCCTCTCTTTATTTTATAATCTTATCGGTCAACTTCAATGAGCAGAAGTTTTGATTGAGGCCACTGTGATATTACATTAAATGGGCCTCATTTGGGATGAGTGACACTATGGACCAGAAAGCATCCTGCAAGGTGAGAAGAAAGGATACCCGTCACAAGCCCAATTTAGCTTTGCAGATGTAGTGGGTAAAGACATGCAAATACCTGATGAAATACGTGTCCTACACCAAAAGGGCAAACACCTCCAAGAATAGCTGCTTTGCTGAGGACATGACAGACGTACCTGGTGACACTGGAGACTAAACTCTGGTAAAGAAGGAGTGGGCTTCGAACCATCCCTGAGTGCTTCCTGGAGGAACCGCCTCCCAGAGGGTCGCAATGCTGCCCAGCTGCCATGCCCGGGGCCTGCGTGGTCAGACTCCCCGATGCTTGATGCTGTAAGGGCCAGTAAACCCCTGTGCATCATTTGCATGCATGGGCAGTATTCTTACCTTTCACCAGCCTTAACCCACAAGAGGGGAAGCCCTCTAATCAGAAAAATCTGCCCTCAAAGATAAAACTGGCAATGAGGATGGGAAGGCAGCTGGCAAGACTCCCACATCAGCGTATGGAGTTTCAATTTGTGGCTGAGGTTTGCTGACACCTCTCAAAGTTTTTGGGATGCCCGTCTGGGTCTGGAGGCTGCTAGCCTGCCTAGTACTAATTTTCGCCACCATTAAGGGATTTTTCAATTTTTGCCAAAATCACTGCTGGCAAGCAACAACCAAATGCTACGGGACCCATCCATTCCAGTGCCCGGGGATGCTCAGGCACCCTCTTCCCTCCATCCTGCTGTGTTGCCTGGAGAGTAGGATCACGACATTCAAGGTGCTTTCCCCAAGCATGGCCTCCGAGACCCCAGACTCCAAATTCGAAAAGGCACTGTGCCACCTCTAACAGTGCAGCTGGCACCAGGGTCTTCTGCTATTCTTGCGTTGCCCCAAATCTGAGACCCTCGACAATTACCCACCAAGCGACCCTTGGACCTCAGCTGCCCAAGAAGTCCACAAAATAACTTGGGGTCAAAGTAGTGCCATCCCTGTCCCTCCTCAAACCCCAGAGGCGACCCTGCACTCCTACAAGGCTGCCCCACCCCCAGAGATGTCTGCTGGGTTCTTCTAGCAGCTATTCAGGAACAACATCACCTGGCCGACTGCTACCTCCATCAGGTGGCCACCTTGAGGGCCCAATTTCAGGTGGCCAGGACTGAGGACTTCGACCACCCTCACCCCCCACCAAAGCC